TATTTGGGCTCTATCGCTTTTATGTCTATCTTTATGCAGTCTTATTTTCTTGCGCCATGCATCATAGCACTCTGAGTCAAACCATGGATATTGTCCATCTGTCTTAACTGAGCATTTCTTGATGAATTTGTCAGTGATATTGAAAAGTTTTTTCTTAAATTTTTTCCACCCAATTTCAGGTTCTGTGCCATTAAGCAATGCCTTCCAGTCTGTGTGCCGGAGTTCATGGTTTAGCCACTCCCAGTTCACGTTTTTATAGTTATAGCACATACGCTTAACCGGCTTCTTCCTATTTACCTTAATGTTGATCTTAAAGTTGATTGGAAAATGATCAGACTTACAGACGCTATCTCGCTCACCTACCATTAGGTCACTGATATTAGACTCAGAGTTTGTGAGCAAAAGGTCCAGTGTTTAGCCTTTGCAATGGGTGGGTGTAAGTACACATTGCCGAAGGCCAAGGTCTACAAAAGATTCAACAAAAATCTGCTCAATAGGACAGGAGCCGGCCAAGGTAGACCAGGAGACTCCAGTCAGGTTGAAATCTCCCAGGATGAATACTTTGCTTAGCCCTCTTCTCCGAAGAAGAGTTTTCAGAGATCCAAGAATTTTTTCATGATTTGCAAAGCCCAGTGTACCAACACGATAACATGTACAGATAACAAATTTAATGCCCGTTGATGTTGTAAACTCCACAGCAAGAATTTCTGCCCCCTCTTTAAGTCGGATTTCTTTCGAGGATAATTGAAGGTCTGCTCTCACAGCAATCATGACCCCGCCACCATTTCTCCTAAACCGGGTCGGATTAGAGGGATCAGGTGGATGAGTTCTCTTAGATCTGTCAGAGCGAAATATCTTATATCTATCAGGGTGCAGGAATTCGCTATCAGCTATGGAGTTTTTAAACCATGTTTCGTTAAGTATTGCAATATCTATATTTGCCTCATTAAGATAAGTTGAAAGACATTTGGTGATATCAAGCATTGGGTGGGCATTATTAAGCTCACCGAAGGGAATAAGGCCTTGAACATTCTGAAAGTAAACATTCAATACCTTACTATTCCCCAACCTAATATCTATAGGAGGGGGTCCTGGGTTTACGATTCCAGGATTTACAAAAATTATCAAAATACCATTCAACAATCAACAAGAACAACCAAATTATGCATCCAGTTAGTGCAATACCAGCTCTACCAGTAGATAAAAAGTTTAAATTCCTATAGATTGTAACATGGCAGAAATTGTAAAGGCCATCGAAACTATAATCATTCCGGAAATAATACATATTTGCTAAGTGTAGAAGGAAATATACAGTAAAATATCGGCACAAGTTAGGCACTGGATATGTTGGTACAAAGGCTCGGCAATCATATGTGACTCTAGAAAAAGCCAACCCACTAACCCCCGCACTAGTGATGATGATGAGTGAGAAATGGCATATCAATAAAACATAGAATATATATAAAAAGAAGCTAGGATCAATGCAGCTGTCTAAAATGTCAAAGATACTACCTGTACCACGTCTACGGTTCTGATGTTTAATGGCTCTTGCAAAAGCATTTCCACTGAACACTCCAACTCTAAATCTATATGTTACTAAATCGATCATGGTAATTTACAGGTAAGTATACTTGCCAGACTACATCTGCATATAACTAGCTATACAAGGTCCATAATACAGCTCAGGTTAAACTATTGATATACGTAGGGATTAAAATATCTACTGTGTATGGCACGAATATAAGACCTAGCCAACACCCCCATTCCTTTCTGAGGATTAGGGTGAATACCATTGCTCTCAAATAACGGGTCAAATCGCCTAACAGGTTCCTTATAAGTTCTCTTGAATTTAGTGAAGGGATAAAAGACATCCATAAAGAAGAACCTCCTGAATACACACTCATTAAATAAAATCCTATTAAAGTCTATTATCCTCTTGTTAGTTAATCTATCATCATCAGACGTTAAGGGTAATGGCAATAAAGATTGAACATAAACCTTGCAATTAGGAAATAATTGGCATATCTTACTAAAGAGTTGCTTCAGAGGCCCTCTAACTGTGCCTACATCGTCTACCCGTCTAATATCGTTCGTACCAACACTAATTAAAAGTTTATCAACCTGAACATCGGGATGTGCAGCAGAATAGTCCTCAAGCTGCTTCTGGACCTTGTCCATCTTTGCTCCACCTTGTGCAACATTCTCGACTTTGACTTTCCCTTTTCCCAGCTTGTCCGAGTCCAATCTCTGAGCAAAAGAGTCTCCAGCAACCAACGTGACTTTCTGCACAGGTTCTTTGACTTTAATGCCACAAGCAGGTGTACTAGTCTTACTGGCGCTGTTGGTTTCAGAGCTGGCCTGGCTACCAGTTTTCACGATTGCGCGAAAAGACAGGGAGTATCGCACTTGGTCTTGACCATCCCCCTTCGTAGTTCGTACCTGTAGCCGGCTCTGCACGCACCGCATGCTTCAGATTCTGCTGTGTCCCGGGCCGCATTACGACAAGGCTGTTGTTCTTCATCCTTATCGCTTTGGCACATTTAGGATTCTTCTTTGTACCCTCGTAAAACTCAAGTGTCCGTTCACACCCCAGGGAGAAAGAGCATATCGATTTCTCCTGATCCATGAGTGTCTCGTCGTCACGGTGTAACGAGGTGCTGGACTGGTTGTTATTATACTTGATCACCAGACACTCCAGGAGTCCAAAGGTCCAGTTATCTCTGTGCTTGAGTTAACGAGACTCAGCAGCCTTTTGATGTTAGGGAAACTACTGATATCCTGTGGTGAGTGTACTGGGTTTGTGTCCGGGTACGTATAGGCCTGATCCTGCGAGCATAACCAAGCGGTCTGAGCCTTGTTTCTCCCCCCAGGGTTCATCTTCAAGGACCCACACTCCGCCCATACTGTATCAAGGAGGACATCATCACCACAGAAGTCCTCTAGGTGCGAAACAAAGTTGTCCACCTTTCCCTCACGATTAGGGAGCTCGTTCTGGACACAGTTGAGGATATTGCGCAGATCCTCAATTGAAGCAGATTTAACATAGTCGAAAATCTCTTCAAGGTCTATCATTATTATCAGAGATTGTCGAGTCTGGCAGCAAAGTTTGCCAGGGAACCATCCATATTCCATAACACCCCAGAGTAGGCATCCACACACAACACTAATTAACACGACCTGAAGGAGAAAGGACAAGAGAAAATGGGTAATGATACAAGTAGTTCTAGGTAAATTTTGCCAAGCGTAAGTAAATTTTGCCAGTGAAACTTTAGCTAGAATAATGATACGAGGGGCAATATCAGAGTTGTAAATGTGTGACTAGGTCTATATCGACATTTCAATCATTTTATCATTGAAAGCAAAATTATGAATAAAATCAAAGTAGAAGATCAACTTACAGCGTGTTTGAGGGTGTTGCTGCCCAGTGCAAGCACTTGGCGAGAGGAGCCTAACTCAAGGGTGAACTTCAGGAACCCCAGCGTACCCGCATACCAGGAGATCGGCTGTACTTCCTAGCCCTCATGCCATCGTACATGCCTAAAATTATTTGTTATATAGTAGTGTCGAAAGTATTAAAACTAATATTCCAGGTTTAAGGAAATCTCAACAGTCACAAAATCACACACCACACAACATAACTTAGTATTAGTAAACTATCTAAACAACATGAAGCATTCACTCAATAAACTTCTAAGTTACGAAAGCACTTCAAAACTAATAATTACCGACCACTTTTGAAATCGGAAAATTTTCACTGCCAGACCTGCTACTAGTTTACTGATAATACTCCTGGCCATCGCTCAATTAAAGCCTTATCAGCACAACACGCACAATCACATATCATCAACGTAGCTGATCTCAACGCATCATAATAACAACCACGCGCACACACACCCACTTACCACTACACAGTACCACACAGAGCCCAGCAATCAATTCAAATAACGCCTAGCTGATTTTGATAGAATAACATCGTGAGCCAGCGTGATGAATTGTTTTAATCTTAATCGAAGTTAAACGGCTGCAACCCTGACTTTTTAACTAAAAGATAAGAGACGTATATATTAGGACATTTGCAATCTGATAAAATTTAAAGTTTTGGTGTGTGAATTAAAGCTTGATGTGAGAATTGGTGTGGAAATAAAGAGATTCACTTTATTACATCATATATCTTAATTAAGTGACAGTAAGTATTATTATTTTAACTACAGATTATATTATTTCAGTTAGTATTGACATGAATGTTACGATTTCAGTTTATTTATATATTATATTGTCAATAAACCGGTTTCAAAGCCCTTAAGGGTGGCCCTCGGGTCTTTAAAACAAAACATGTTCGGTGGGACAGTAGGAATGTGGGACAATCTATGTAATAGAAATAAAATCGTAATCACGCAACGGTGAATAAAGGTAGCTTGGGAGATCTTCAACTACTGTAACAACAATTTAAAAGCTATAGAACTGGTTGAAAGTGATCCTTGGCTGAAAGACAGATACTTGAGAGTCACTCATCATGAAATGTCACTTAAACCTCTCGAAATTGCAGAGAAGGTCTACTCATTTATCAGAGCTACTCTAACCGTTCATATTATTATTAATATTAAACTTAAAGAATACATTCATAATATAACTGATTAAGGCGAATCAAAAGGATTTAAAAATCGTCCCAAACATGCTTTCAATGTGTACAGGAATTCTACGGACAAATGGAAGAAATTGTTTTCGGTCACCTTCAATACTGGGACGTTTTCTCAATTGAAACTCGATGTAAATCGATGTTTGAATCGTTAATAAATCAATTTTCCGTTGATACGATACCTGCTTTTTAAAATGAATTCAGCGTTAGATGAGTTATATGACGAAATCGATGATCCTAATTTTAACTACGACTGATTGCAAGTAGAATGCAAAAACTATTCTGATTTATCGATTAAGATCAAAGATTTGTTAATGTTTACCTTCATTTGTTAATGTTTACCTTCTTAGTTTTAATACTTTCAACACTACTATATAACAAATAATTTGAGGTTTTTACTGCGTTTTAAACGACGACCAACAGCTTTTAGTGGGTTTATCAAGTACTTTTCAGCACTTACCACTATATTTATTTGGTTTGAGTTAAAGTAGAGAGGTCTCAAATCCTTTACAGCAATGGTTATCACTGATGTCTATGACAAGATGGAAAAGGAGTTAGAAACGTTAAACGACAGTTTAAAAGGTAAGAAGAAGTTGGATACTATGTATTGGTTTTGTATATTAGAGCTTTAGCCACAGGTAGGTTGGTCTGCACGGAGCCCCACAGTTTCAATTCCTTGTTTAACTAGCCGTACAGCAAGGATATCCACTGTGCTCACCAGGTTAGGCACATAACCAACACTACCCTGCTAAAGTTAGCTATATACTATGGTTTTCTCGAAAGTATTTCCTTGTATTTGACTTTCGTCAAGAAAGTACTCTTACTTTCGGTTAAGATGTTATATAAGCTAGCCTTTATGTGTATAATTGCAGATTCTTTAGACTTACCCACAGGGAATAGCAAGCCGGATATGTTTGAAGTTATAAAGGAACTATTCAGTTTCAGTAAGAGGGCCCTGTCACTACTGAAGACCAAGTCTATACTAGACACACCTGCACCACAGGAAGGGACAGCTACCGAGGCACTAGATATAGTGAGAAAGGAGCTAGCACAATTTAGACAAATTCTCATTGAGCACAATAAAGGTGGTCCAGATATTATACCTGAGATTAAGACCAATCTCGGACCCAGTGAGACTCATACTTTAACTCTGGAAGGGCAGAATGAGGCAGATAAGATAACAGAAGAACTCTGGTCCTCAAAGGTGAAGAAACATGTCGCATCAATACTGCCCAGCATCCCTATTAAGGGGGTCTCAGGTGTCAAAGAAGGCACAGCAAGGTTAATATTCAAGAACAAGGAACTTATGGAGAAAGCTAAAGATGCTCTTAGTGTGGACTACAAAGTGTCTGCAAAATCCCACACCGTGACAATGCTTGAACCTAAGCTTACTATGTATGATCTCAAGGGAGATTTTGAGTCATCTGAAGAATTGCGCCAGAGCATCCTTGATAAGAACAGTTCCATTAAGAGTTTAGTTGAAGATGAGAACAACATTTTCAAGGTTATTTTCCTGGAGAAAAACAAGACCTGGGCATGCCTACAAGTGTCAGTGAAAATCAGGCAGTCTATAAGGGAGTCAGGTGACTTTGTACACGCTGATCTTGGACAGTATAAAGTTAAGGATAGGTATCATGTAATCCAGTGCTTTGACTGTCAGAGCTTCGGACACATGAGTGGCAGTGATTACTGTAAGTGTAAGAAGTATAATGCCGACCCAGTGTGCTTCTACTGTGCAGGTGCCCACAAATCGAAAGATTGTGAGAAGAAAACGGCGGGCCGAAGATCTAGTATCAAGTGTACGAACTGTAGCAACAGTAAAGACAAGAATGTCAAAGATAAATGCAAGACACATTCTGCAGCTGACAGATTATGCCCATCTTATGTGAGAGAGCAGAGTTATATCATGGCCAGAACGAGCGGATGTGAAACATCAAAAAACTCTTATCTCCAGTGGGCAAAGATTCGACAAAGAGAGCTTGGGATAAACTAGTCTTAGCCACGTTTAATGTTAATCGTCTAGTGAACAAGACAGTAGAGGTTCTTGAGCACCTAACTGATGAGGGGGTTGATATCTGTTTTCTTCAAGAGACTTTTCTTAAGGAAGCAGATACTGCAAAGCTACAAGAGATACGAGATTTTGGTTGGGGTATTTTATCCAACCCAAGGAAGCATCGTAGTGGCGGAGGTATAGGTATGATTTTCAATAAGAACCTTAAGTTGAAAAGCAACGGTAGAGTCAAGAAGTACAAGTCTTACCAAGTCATGGAAGTCGTACTTGAAACAAATAGTGGGATAATCAGACTTATTGATGTGTATAGACCGCCTTACACCAAAAAGGCCAGGTACACTGAGTGCCACTTCTTGGAAGAATTCAGTGAATACCTGTGTGATTTGTCCGGTAAGCCAGGAACCCCGGTGATTGCAGGGGATTTTAATTTACATGTTGAAAGACCTAAAGATCTTTACCCCGCAAAGTTTCTTTCCCTTCTTGATCAGCTTGGTTTCATCCAATGTGTATCACTAGAAAGAACTCACAATCAAGGAGGAACTCTTGACCTCGTGATAACGACCAAAGTCTTTAAAGACTCTATAACTTCTATCAACATTGTGGAATCTGGGACTAGATCAGATCATTTTCTTGTTAAATTTGTAGTGTCTGTGAGCCTGAAGACCTCTTTGAATGATACTAGGGTGATGAACTATCGTGATTTTAAAAGTATTGTGGTTGAGGATTTTAAAACAGATATTTTGGTTTCTGATCTCTGTAAAAGAGATGCTTGGTGCTCTGAGAGTCTTGATGAGTCAGTTAAGATGTACAATAGTTATTCTATTGGAACTTATGGACAAGCATTGTCCTGTGATCAGTAAGGAGATGTAGAGTGAAGACAAAGGTAAACCTTGGATGGATCAGGATCTGAAAGCTTTACAGAGGCAGAGGAGAGCAGCTGAGAGAGCCTGGAGGAAAGGCAAGGGACAGAAGGATATTTTTGTCAACCTCAGGAACAAATTTATTGTCATTGAGCGACAGAAGAGGATTACTTACAATAGAAAAGCCCTCTTAGCCTCTGCGGGAGATACGAAGGCTCTGTACAAGAAAGTTTATAGACTCACGGGTGAAACTACCCAAGAAAGGCTACATGGTAATGACACTAAAAAACTTGCAGAAATTTTTAAAGTTTTCTTTGCGGATAAAGTGAATGATATCAGACTTGGGATAGAAGAAGAAGGAAGTCATCTCGGAGGGAACTTGTCATCGTCAGAGAATCTTGAAAGCACCTATTCAGGGCCATCATTTGATAAATTTCACTCCATCACTAGGCAGCACCTGTTACACACCATTTCTAAGATGTCTAACAAGTTTTGTAGTCTTGACCCTATTCCAACTTTCATTTTGAAGAAATGCTCTCAGGAGTTGGCACCGATCCTCCTGCACATAATAAACGGTTCTATGTTGCAAGGTGTGTTTCCAGCCGAGATGAAGACTGCACTGGTCAAGCCCACTATCAAGAAGAAGAATGATGATCCAGATATTCTGAAGAATTACAGACCAGTCTCAAATCTTGCAGTTATGTCTAAACTGATTGAAAAGATTGTACTTGAGCAGTTAAACAATCACTTACATTTAAACAGTCTGCATTGCCCAGTTCAGTCTGGATACAGAGCGAACCACAGTTGTGAAACCCTGATGGTCAGGATGGCAGACGATATTCTTAAGGAAGTGCAGAAGAACAACATTGTGATTGTAGTCCTACTTGATCTCTCTGCTGCTTTCGACACGATTGATCATACAATCCTTCTTAAGAAGCTGGCAAAAGATTTTGGTATTAAGGACTCTGCATTGAAATGGTTTAGCTCATACCTCTCAGGCAGGTTTTTCAAGGTTAAGGTAGATGACTCATTATCTGACTTCCTGTGTCTGTTGTTTGGGGTACCCCAGGGCTCTCTATTGGGACCTATCCTGTTCATCTTATACATTAAGCTGCTCCAGGAAATAGCTAGAAAGTATGGTCTTGATATTCAGCTTTATGCAGATGACTCACAACTTTATATAGCTTTCCACCCGATGAGACCCATGGAGCTGCAGAATGTCACTAGTAGGATCAATGACTGTCTGTCTGAAATCAAAGTATGGATGGTTAATAATTTCATGAAACTGAATGAGAGCAAGACAGAATTGTTAGTCATTGGAAAGCCTTTGGTACTGAAGAAGTTTGACCTTGAAATAACAATAAAGTTTGGTGACACCATTATTACACCAACTGTATGTAAAAACGATACCTGGAAGAGTCTTGGAGTGTTACTAGATGAATCTCTCAACATGGAAAGGCAGATTAACAACGTTAGGAAGAACTGTTGCTGGACTATGAACAATCTTAGAACTATCAGAAAGTATCTAGATGAGAGAGTTAAGCTCATGCTGGTCAAACAACTAATCATATCAAAGCTGGACTATTGTAATGCCCTTTACATGAATCTTTCAAAGACTAGAGTGAAGAAGCTGCAATCTGTTCTAAATGCAGGGATACGTTTCATTTACGACATCTATGACAGAAATACTGACTTGTCTCCTTTCTACAAGAAAGCTCATATTCTCTTTGTTGAAAAGAGGATATTTTTCAAAGTGTGCCTCATCTGTTTCAAAGTGACACATGGATTGGCACCAATGTACCTCCAAGAGTTGGTTCAAATGAACAGAGACGATAAGGCTGTCAAAGAAACCAGAACAAAAACAGCATGCAACCTTCTTATGAAGATACCTAAGTTCTCTAAATTGAAGGCAACTAGCAGGCGGTTCAGCAACTATGCACCTGAATCATGGAATTCTCTCCCTCTTAATGTCCGTAACATCGACAATATTGTCTCTTTTAAGGGTAAGTTAAAGAACTATTTGTATGATCAGCTATAGCCTGGTTAAGCTATTTTTTTGTGGCTTCTAGTCTTTTTTTGTGTTATTTTTTGTTTTCCGAGTATCCACTTCTTGTTTTTCTGGTTTTTATCGGTGTGTCAATAAAATCAATTATGTAATATGTATACTTTAACCATTTTTTGCGACAGTTAATCTGATATTATCTCTTTAACATTATTTAGTATTTTTTGATTTATGAGACCCGTGTTTTGTTTTTAACTTTCTGCTCCGAGGAGGAGAGAAAGTTATTTGAGGAGAGCCGCTCAAGAGCCGCTCAGACATGGGCACCGTATTGTGTAAATTATTTAGTTATCTTTATACAATATCTTTGTCGCATAGTAGCGGGGTAGTAAATACAGTGTTTCGTTTCGTTTCGTTTCGTTACCCCAGACTGATAGTTTTTATAAAGACGCTGCGGCGGAATGACAAGCTGAGCGCCGCCCAGTAAATCAATGCATGATATTCATATACCACCGTACTCTAGCTTCTGCTTCTAGAATTTCGATATCACATTTTAAATCCGATTATTCATATGTGGTATTATTATACTAGGCAAGTTATTTATACAAAATAACGAATATATTGTTTAGACAACATGAAGAGTCGTTATAGTTAAATCAGGGTAAGACAATGAAAATGAAATAATCAACATGTATTTGTAATAACTTTAAGTTTAACGTATGATATGAAAAGGATATGAAGAAGAAATAAGTTACCAGCTGAATTCACAAAAAATTACGGGTGACACTGCACACTGGGAGTGATAAATTCAAAATAAATCAGTGCAAAAGAATAAGTTTACGAGGTATTCACCAAACCTTTACCAGACTCCGCTCTGTCTTTACTCTTTATCGTACTCGTAGTATATCCATCACGTTGTCAAACATGATTCCTTACGGCTGGGGCTTCATTATTGCATTTGAAATACAAAAGTATAAACGGTGCAAAAGTTAAAACGGTGTAAAAGTATGTACTGTATGAATTTTGAACTGTGTGAATTTTGCATTTCCTTTATTATTATGCTACCTGATATTAAGGGGAGATACACCAAAACCGTTTTTGCTCCGAACATCGATTTTATTTTATATTATTTTTAAATAGACAAAAAGAATAAGATTGTACACCTTCAAAAATTTTTAAAAATATTCCCTCATCGAGAAAAAAAAATATTTTTCTTTTTCGAAAATTTTTAAAATTTGGAGAAGTCTGTCACTGTAATACCGATAGTTCGGCCAATTTAAAAGTTTTTTGGCTGATTTTTTTTACTGAACATTACTTACACTCCGTACTAGAAGCCATTGAAAGGATTATATAATTGAACAATTAATGACCAAGTTACAGACCGAACAAGGTCGAAAAAATAAAAATTGGGATTTTTGCCTACCACCAAAGTTGTACATTTCACCACCCGCCCAGGTCATCAGATATCGCTTCAAAAATTCTTGTGAGTGTAGTTGATGATCATGGCAAGCTTTTTGGAACCGGATTTCTCTCAATTTTGAGTTTTAAGCTATGCAATGTGGCCTCAAACGACTTAGTAAAATTCATCGTAAAAAAGGGCAAAAAAGGCAGATTTAAGGCTTAAAATGCCTATAACTCAAAAAGTATCAGTTTTTTTGAAATAATTTTTACAGGATCGTAATCAGCTTGGTAAGACGAATCTTTAGCTATTAGCTATTAGCTTGGTCTCACCTAGTTACATCTTCATGCCAATCATCATTGCCTAATTATAAAATGATTTTCTTACAACAGTGTTTTCATAAGTTCAATGTCCACGTTCGCCTCATATAGAACAGAACCTTCTTTTTCTCTTATACAGGATGTTTTTTGATGACTTGCCTTGCAACGCCTAACAGACTATGACCAGGCCCGGATGAAAACTTCTCTACTCCCTCACGAATCTTTGTTCTTTCCTCTTCGACGTTTATTTTCTTGTTCATAAGGATGCAAATCTTTGGTATAAAGATGCTAAAGAGGAAGGCTGTTGAGGTGATGAAGACCACTATAGCACGTAGGATAGCTCGAACTTCTGGAGGAGAAAAACCGTAGCCTGCCAGGAACATGATGGAGCACAACAACACCACAAACGTGGCACAAAATATGTTGAGGGACTCTCTGAAGTTGTGAGGAAACTTTCTCATCTTGAATGCCAGGACCAAAGTAATGAGGAACGATAGACCAGGCAAAACGATTGGGATTACCAGGGTCTTGCTATTGATGCTATTACACATTAGGTACCAGGGTCTGTGAGACTCTTCCTGGTACCTTTCAAAGGCCCAGCTGGGTCCACGTCCGGTGTAGCTGTCAATGAGAAGGATAATGACTGTTATCGCCAGGGTGAGCAAGTTGAAGGCGGTCTGGCCTGTTCTTTTGAGGAGCACACCAAGCTTTGGTGCAGAAAAATGTTGGGCAGCAGCAAAAATGTCGTAAACCTTAACACACTTATAAAGCAAGTTGGTAGATATCAAGGTAGCAAAAATTGCAAATGAGTAGTACTCCGCTGAGCAAGTTGTGGTCGAGGGTTTAAGAAGAGGAGTCAAAGCCGTAGGATACCCGATCAGCAAGCTAAGTAGAACCATATAGAGATAGCCGGGGTCAGAAGCTTTGATAACTGGCCTATCCTCATTTCTAAAGATTACAACACCAAAGACAATGACCATTGACATACCAAGCGGCATACTTGAAGCTCCCACAATAAAGGTTGTTGATTTAGGCTGAATGTAGATTTCTGGGACCAAGACACAAGCAGTGTTATTTTCAGTGGCTGACATGGAGGGATCACATACTTTGCAAACATTTGTGTCATTTTCGGTGCTGTATTGGTGAAGATTGCAATCTTCACAGGTCCAACAGCAGGGAAGATATTGGATATTCCGATTAAAACGTCGATGGGTGCCTGGCTGGCAGGTATACGAACACGTTTTGTTGTAGCCTGACATGCTTTCCAGAAGACTTTCGTTCATCACTTCTATTCGGTCAACGAATGCCCTTCCTAGAGTCCTGAAAATCTGTGTCTCAGTTTTGTAGACCCCAATCCTGTACCCAGTGTTGACTGTCTTCTTGAACATCCTGATGGGTATTGTTACATTTTCTTCTAGAGTAACATTCAACGTTTGATTCTCATTCACGATTTGGTTGAACAGCTTTGTTTTGTAGTCCATTAAACATCGAGTTCCGCCTGGTAAAACAGGTACTACCATATTTGTAAGAATGGTATGAAGAGATTCTAAAACCAACTTAACTCCTCCGACCATGTAAGGAATCCAGCTGGTCAGTTTGCACATCTTTGGCTCATCACCATCTTTTGGACATCTGTAACTTTGTACCTTCTGATAGAGGTCGTCGATGTAGTCTCTCTTTTTAACCTGTCTCCAATCTTTGTTTAAATCTTTTAGCGTTTGGTCCATTTTAACATTGAGGAGATCTGGTAGTGGAAGTATGATGGTGTTGTGTCCAGAGGTATTTAGGATTGCTGTATAGCCATTTAGGGAACTGTATCGTCCGTTTGATAATCCAAGTATGTAGATCTTATCTCGGAATCCTAGATTTCCGACCATCTCTTTTAGCATTGCTCTGGTTGTTGCTGCAGAATTTTGAAGAATAAGTTGAACCCGTGAAGGGGTCCCGCCAGTTTCATTGTATGTTTGTTTTATCCTTGGAATGTGATCTTTGTATGTGACATCAGTTATTCGTCCACATCCTACCTTTTTGACGTAGCTGTTGAATATGTGCTCGGCCATATCTTTAGAATATTTGTGGTACCAGATGTCCATATATTGATAACCCATCTTTTCTAAGAATCGAATGGTTATTTCTGCTTCTTTGACTTCCGTGTCTATCATGGAAAATAGATTTGGATAATTGCTACCTGTCATCAACTCATCATCATTGAACAAATACACGAATGTGGGAATGTGGAATGATGACATGATAGCAGCAGATCTTTTGGTGTAAACTTTATTGTCGACTCCAGAAACTCCCACGACCTTCTTGTTGCTAGCAAGTGCAGCAGAGATTCTTCCTGTGACAGCTGAACTCATGCAAGTGTCATACATCTCGTATCCCAGGGTCTTGTTGAAATCCTTTTTAAATCTTTCATTTTCTTTCTCTATTATCATCCTAAGGGCGATGGCCTTCTGGATGCCCCACTCTGAAATCCCAGAGTAAGAACAACTTTGAACTGAGATTTTAGTGCCGTTATCATCGTCTATGTACTCGAGCTGGCCTATCTGGAACATTCCTCCAATGATGAAGTCTCCGTCTTTTGCAGCAATGGGGGTATCAAGATACCGTACCTGACAAACTCCCTCATCCTCACCAGCTACTCCTGGTAAAGTGAGCACCAGGAGGATAAATAGTACAACCTCGGCATGGATAAACATTGCAATTGATAACCAATTGTTTGGTTATCAGGATCCTTTATTCTTCTACTATCACACATCCAACAGCTTCTTTCTTTGCCATTTAAAATTGTACGCGTCACATTAATGATCACGTACTATAGTTCGACACGTACTATATTTCGACACGTGCAGAGGTCTAATACCATTGTACTTTAGTCACGAAACGTGGACATGTGCAATAATTGCGATTGTTTGGTTATAAGGATCCTTTATACTTCTATTATCACACCCACCCGGGCCACCAGCTTCTTTCTTTGCCATTTAATTGGTGATAGTTGGAGGTCACGTACGTATAGATGGTGAACTTTTACTGTAAGTAACTATTGCTGTGCAATGACTGCATTAGATGAGTTAGATGGGGGGGGGGTACCAATGGCATAAAATGGCATACGTTTTATGGCATAAATGGAAATTTTTATTGGCCAATTCTCCGTTTATGCCATGAATTTAGGTCTTCATATTTGACTTTAAATTCGCAAATTATTATTAGTACTTGAATAAGAGACATGTTTCATGCTTTATAACGCTTGGAATGATCGTTAAAGATTCATATGACAAATAAAGAAAATAGAAATGTATTATATCAAAAATGGCATAAATGGCATACGTTTTATGGCATAAATGGACACTTTTATTGGCCAATTCTCCATTATGCCATTTATGCCATTGGTACCCCCCCCCCCCCCCCCCCCCCCCCCCCCCCCCCCCCCCCCCCCCCCCCCCCCCCCCCCGTTAGATGACGAATTTGATCTTGGAAGAAACCGGCGAACCTAATTCTAACTACAACAAATAGCAGGTAGAATGCAATATTTTTTATGATTTATCAATTGAGATCAATTATTTATTAATGCTTTATGTACCACCGACCACCATCGCGTACTCTAACTTCTATAATTTCGATATCACATTTTAGATCTGATTATACACATGTGTACTCGGTAACTTTTATATACAAAATAACGAATACGTTGTTAAGGAAGCCTGAAGAGTCGTTATAGTTTAATCAGGGTAAGACAATGAGGGTCAACACTCAACATGTAATAACTTTAACATCACAAAAAGGTTAAATTAAAAACAATCGCAGGTAGCAGTATACCCGAAACAAATGATTTTAAAATCATTACCTACAACAACATGGACTGAGTACAGTTCAATAAAAGCAAGTTCCATATTAAAGACCAACCACGTCATCTTAACCTATTAGGGGTCGTTCACATATTACGAAGGGAGGGGGGTAACAATTTTCCAAAAAGTGATTACGTTTAATATGTGAACGACCCTCGCCTGCATTGATATCGTAGCGCACGAAGATTATGCAAAATGGATTTTTGAGACATCGATGAGAAGTGAGAACTGTAGCAGAATTGTATTTTATGAATCACTGCTGATAAGTCCGTACGTTATTCAAAGTGCTATTCGATACACAAAACCGTTCAGCGCGTTCGTTAAGTTAACTGGAGTGCTTTTATTCGTTGGCGGGTCGGGGAAAATGGACACAAGCTGGAGTGTGTACCAATTTAAGCGGGTCTACTATTTGTAACTTAACTTAAATATAGTTACTTAAAATAGTTCAATTGTAACCCTGTAAACTTCAATTGAATTTATTTGAGTAACTATCTAAGTAAATATTAATGTTATTAATTCCTGAACAAAACCGTAATTACATATCCATTGTCCAAGATAACAACAACAATTCACAAAAGAAAAGTCTCTAATCGACACTAAAAGGTTTTAAGAAGAAGATCCTTCAAAACAGAAAGGGACAGGATCAGACTCTCTTGTGATGCACAAAACTTTAAACCGATCGCCCATTTCATCGGGACTACAAAGGAAGTTGTGAGCATGGATAACACTGTCTTGTTTATCCTCAGGTACTTGGGAATAAAGCTGCTTAAACCTCTCCCCGACCCCCATCAGGGTCAAGAATGAGGACTGGGTGATCGGTCCATGAGCTTTTACTCCTTTCACATCAGCAATTGACTTTTTCAAGTCTTTAAAGTTTACATCTGCCGTCAAGTCACATAATCCCAGGTCTTCAAGAGGGTTGACTTGTTGGTGGTTTTTGAAAGCTCTGAAAGTCAATTCAGTACTCAACTGGTCTTCTCCGTAGTCTATAATCAAAGCAGCACCGCCCGATTTGGCGATACGTTCAGCCAGTGAAGTTACGAGCATGTCTGATGCTGGCGAGTGTTCGATTTGGGAACCAACTGGTAAAAGAGCGAACTCCTTGTCCTGATCTATCTTAATACTTTTCCCAGTTTTATAGGTGGTGTAGAAAAGCTTGTCCATATCTGGCTCAACATCCACCATTATCTCAACCCAACCCTTTTCTTCCGTCTTTTGAAACTGGTTAACCGGTAGAGCATCCAAAAACTCGTTCATTATGTAAAGTGAAGGCTTATCATCGGGAGCGTGGTCCAACATTGAGTACCACTTAAACTTAGCCTTGTGCAGTCCCGTCCGAGACAAATAATTGTGATTATCGAATATATGTTGGGGCGTTATTGTGTTCCTAACGTTACCACACAACATCTCCTCCTGCTCAGCTATAAACTTTTCGCTCAATTCAACAAGACTAGCTGATAATTTGGGAGCTTTGCCGAAGAAAGCAGGCCCGATAATCCCGACTGTGTCTATAATATCTCTCATGAGAGTACCCCTACCGGGACCCAGCTCTGTGAAGTGAATTTTAGGAGGTAGTTTGGCTTGCTGCCAGTAGAGGAGGGACCAAGCCCCGATAATCTCTCCAAATACGGGCGTTAGTTCAGGGGCAGTTATAAAATCACCTTTGTGTCCTATGCTTGCAGCCTGAAAATAGTGTACGTTTACAGGTTTACTCTTCAGAAAAGTGCCGTTTATGATTAGGAGTCGTGCACATGATTACGCTAGTGTAATTTTAACACAATATCTATTAGCTATGACGTGTAAAAGTGATTACGGAGGAGCTGGTCAAAAATTGGTAAAAAAAGTGATCACGTAATATGTGAACGACCCCCCATAGAATAATTCTGCTCCGTCGGCATGGCAACCACTCCTTCAAGCAAGAAATTAGAAAAATTCATCGCAGGGAATGGCAACATGAAGCTACTGAAGTAAAGCGGAGGTCTACTCTACACACTAATTATCTACCTGGGGGTAGTATCCGTGTTTAGGATCCATGATAACATCGTGCATCAGCTCTGCCACGTGTAGCGGCCCTGTCATTCGGATACGCCGACAAAAGTGTGATAGAAGGGACATGACCTGAAACAGATCCTTACAATCAATATCTTGGGTATGCTGCACTGTACCATTTGATCCATCTTATTTTAATGTGCATGACAAATCGACGATTAGATATAAATGGTCCGTCGGATTTCTTTATTATGTATATATCTTTATATGAAATTCTGTTGAATTGTTCAAGTTTTGTTATTTTATTCGGAAGATTCAGCAATAAAGTCAATCATAAAGTTACTCAAGGGTTTGAAAGTTTACAAAAATAAATAACTAGTGTATAGTGCAAGAGTTAAATTAAATAGATAACAACTAAATAGCACTAGATGAATCAAAAATCTCGAGTTGGGTCAATGTTCATATTTTAAAAACTTTCAAGACTGATCTAACGGCTTTTTAATACTGTCCATCACAATTTTAACATTTAGCGGCAAAGATTGAGGCCGGAGCTCAATGTACTTGGGCCTGGTAACAGGAGTTTGATAGTATCGGATAACATCTTCAACAGAAACAAGATACGTTAGCTCAGAGCTAGGAATGTCCCTTTCAAACTGTTCAATACACGCTGTAAGAAAGTTGAATTTACTGGCCAAGTCGGGGAATGCTGCGGTGCGCCAGTCATCCTCACTAGCACCTAGGATCTCCAGAGATAGAGGGAATAAAACTGATTCAATCTGCTCTTCAGAGGGTAGGTCCTGCTCGTACCTAACAAATTTAACGCATCAATAGTACAATATACAATGATGATTCCACTTCGATACTACTATGATATTGAAAGTCAATAAGTAATAATATATAATAGTTAGTTTAATTAGTTTTCTATGATTTGACAATAAATTCTGAGAACTGAATCCTAAACTGTGACCCAATTTCTGAGGTGAAACCTGAGCGATGGATTATTCCTACTAACCATTCTTCAGATCTGTCGCTGACGATATTATCAAAATTATCCGTTTCTCCCTTCCCTTTTCCGATGAAAGGTATTTTAGACATCAGTGACAAGGGTCGAGCTGGCAGGACACGTGGTGTGATGTCACGTGGTGTGCTGTCACGTGACTTCATCACACTCTGAGGTGCTCTGATCGCAGCACATGTTCTCGAACATCTTCTACCAACTTGTGAGAGAATCATCCTACTATAAAAGTATAGGTCACGTTGAGAATCGAGTTAAAGGTGATAATATAATGAGATACAATTTGACACTTTTCTGAAGTTAACCTGATTTCTGTGCACGATGTAAAGAGCCTGATCCATCAAGGTACGACAAAATGATCCATTTTGACGGATAAAAATCGTATTTAGGAGCCATGTCACTTGCCAGTAACTCCTTAATAGGTTCAAATCTCGCTAACCGTCAGTAAAGTACACGATACACCTCTCAAGTACGATGTGTTATTCGGTGTACTGTAACGAGTTGAGAGAAGAGGGTTAAAATGTACTGACTGGTTCAAACAGAGGTTATTAACTTCAATGTACAGTCAGCAACCTGGCATTGTTATGATTAACAACACCTAGAATCCATCTAGGTAATATTTTGTACGTGATCGCTAGTTCAGCGGAAATACCTTAGTATAACATCTAGATAATAACCAGTATAGTATAAGTACTTTATAGTATGAAAATGTAGGATGAGATGTTTTATTACTTGTTTGATTACAGGATATTATCTTAAATTATCTTCCACATTAAATACAACCTGATAGAGCTTAATCTAACTACATATTAGGACGCAGTGAAACTATCGGACTAAGATGTATGGGGACATTAATAGTTTAATATAATGGTTTGTTGGAGAATAATAAAGACCCTTATAACTACAAAAAGTTAGAAAAAGGTCTGAATATCATTTTAGTCTTATCAACTGGGTGAGATAATACCAATGTGGAATGATAGCTGAAGGAGATATTATCTGATAGCTGTCGATGATAAGCGGTAGTTTAATAATACATATACAATATACATACAGGGTGGCCCAAAAGTGACTACCCACACGCAACCTCTTAATAACTCACGTAATTCGTCTCTAAATTGCACCAAAATTTCAGAGATTATAGATATGCCGATATGGGTCAAACTTAGATTTCCTGAAAGTTTCGTAAGCCACGCCCAATTACAGTGGGCGTGGCGTGACACTCCCATACATACAATATAAATATACAATATACATATTATCTATTACATCAATTTATTCTATAGTACACTCGTTGTTTGACAGCTTAATTAAATACTAATTACAACCACATGACTCGGTTTCGAATGGCAATTAAGTGCCTGAAAGTTATCATAAATATGATATTGAAGTTGCTCAGATAACTTTTAAGATATTCGAGTCTCTGAAAATTGATATACTCCTTAAAGCAAGCCTTTATTTTGTTCAATATGCTCATACTTGTTACTAGAATATATACTAGAATATTTGTCTGCAATAAACAATCTATCACAAAAGTCAGACAATGGTAAAACCACTTCTCCTGCAGATGATCATTGTAAATTTTTGATGTCTCGACAACCACGTGACTTCAAGGGACCCAATCCCGACTTACAGCTTGCGATTACACGAGTTAGAGATTACTAAGTGTTGGTACTCTGTAACGGCTACTAAATACAGTAATACCCCGATTTAAGGCGGAGTTTGGGAGAAAAGAAATGGCCGCGGTAAATCGGGGTATATGGTAAATGCAAATGTGGGCGCGGTAAATCGAGGTTTTACTGTACACCGTGTTTGCGTGTACTGCACTACTTAAAAACTGGTTAAACAGTTAAACGTCTCAATTCGGTTGCATTTTGATAACATTAAAACTGACATGCAAAAGAGTTATTACATTATCAAATCAAATAGCAATTTACAGTAATTGTTGAACTTAGATTATCAATCTACAAAACCCTAACATAAAACTGAATGTAATAAATTAAGTTGTACAACGTGTAGCAGTGACATAGCGGATATGGTTTCAGTAAAGACTGAATTACAAGTGGAAATTATGATTATTACCAAAAACGGTCGTTCAATAAAACGCCACGTCACTGTACTTGATAACGTTATGTAGGGTAACTTCCAAATAGTATCTTTAACAGTTTTAAACTAGGAACCGAGTGCCCTTTTTCCCACGGTTTGTCAAATATTGTCATTCCCTGTCATTCCCTGTCATTCCTTGTCATTCCTTGTCATTCTCTGTCATTCCCTGCTCATATTGTCACATTTTGTCGTAAAATTGTCATGACATCGGGCACTCTCGGTTCCTGCCCTTTAATAGTCTGTAGTCAAATGATTATTCTTTACTTAGAAACTCGAAACTAAGAGCTTTGAATTCTCAAAGGTGTAGGTAAGATTTATACCATTACAAAATGGTTAATAAGGCTTATCTCTGGTTTTTGAACTACCTTTTTGGAGGTTACCCTAGTATCCGTCACCCGTAATTACTGATTACTAAACTCACAAATAATGTCATAACATGATTATAATATAGCGTGAATAAGTTATAATAGACAACTTAAATATCTGGTTTCTGGAACTGAGTATAAAATCGTACAAAGAAAATTAAGAAACAAAGTTATTAATTTGTAGTAATTATGAAAAGGTCATTATATATTTTGCAACATTTATTTTCAGCTATATAGCAAGAATGTGGCGATTAAACTTTTCATCGTGCAATAACTAAAAACACTTCTAGATTCTAATAACTGATACATTTAAATGCAAAATCAAATAATTATTCCCTCGTTGACAACGAGGGAAGTGAACATAAAATGACACACTCAGTACACCTATTAAAATATGATTTCTAATAAAATACAGTTTACACATCAATGCAATTACCAATCATAGAACATACATTAATTTTCTCCCAAAGTTAATTTTCTCCGGTCCCGGAAGATCATATCCCCATCAGTCAGTGTGAGGTTTGGTGAAGCGAATGTAAACAACAATCCTGGCGAACAGAGCAACAGATATGTAGGATGTAATGTAGAGCATTAGTATTATAACGAGGGTTAACATTATCACAGCACACAGCTGCCAGATTATTTGGTGCTCCACCTGCGATATTTTACTTGGTTAAATTCTCCTAATGTTATATGCAATTTTACCACAATTATTAATTTTCATAATGTCGCCGAGCGTAAAATCAGTGTTACGACTGCTCAGTTAATTCAAAACCGGACAGGAGTTACGCGAGGGCAAGCCTGGTGATAAAAAATGATGGTATAATTACTCATAACACTCACGTAATGTGTACAATTACTCATAACACTCACGTAATGCTTAGGAGGACAGTCAGAGTCAGCAACAGAGCCCACATCTATCAGGTAGTGCAGTGCCACCCCAGACTTGCCTCGCACTTCTAGTACTACTCTGGGATAGGGTGTCTCCCACATCACCGATATGGTTCCTGTATAATAAATAAACTCGATGATATTTAACGTCTTAATTTCTCTACTCAGATAAAGATTTTCAAGAATATAGTATGTACCTGATTGTGGCCAGGCCATGTTTGTACCTGTAAATTAGATATAATGGTTTTTAAGAGTGAATTAAACTCGCTTTTTTTCTTCAGAAAATTCTGATATTATACAAGTTCACTTCTCCATAGTGTATTAAGGAAAAATAAATTTATGTCCCATAAAATTTACGCAATTTATAATATGTAGGTAATAATCTACGGTTATACCAAATAAAAGTAAAGCATTAAAAACTCCTAAAAGCTAAAGCCACTTACCAAAATTGAGGTCTATGAAAGGTTCCACAATGCAACCACTACATTCGGAAACATATTTGATGTAATATCTACAGAGTAGATCAGGTATCCAGTCCAAACAGTTGTGCGTCATACCACTACTCTGGACCTGAATTATTTACATGTTATTTACAATGTTATTTACATGTTACCCGGATGTCTGATTACATGTTATTTACATGTCACCAGACATCTAGTACAGCAATATGTTTTAAATGCAGTACTTTGTAACTAAAGACAGTAACTACCACCTCCGAGTTTTGACAGGTGTTTTAGATATCAAACTGTTTACAAACTGTATAAATATTAAATAACTACAATCTGTTCTCTACCTCGAACAGAGGGCCCATAGTAGAGTTGGTGCACTGGATTTCAGCAAAGTGGGAGTCCCCACTGATGATGATAGTGTTTGGACGGCGGGATATCATGCTTAGCAGCCGTTCCCGTTCTAGAGGGTAAAGTAGCCACTTATCTAGGTATATCCGCTCCGTGAGTAGTGGCAAACCTGGATAATAGTGGTAATAGTAGTGGTAATAGTAGTGGTAATAGTAGTGGTAATAGTAGTGGTAATGGTAGTGGTAATAGTAGTGGTAATGGTAGTGGTAATAGTAGTGGTAATAGTAGTGGTAATAGTAGTGGTAATGGTAGTGGTAATAGTAGTGGTAATGGTAGTGGTAATAGTAGTGGTAACAGTAGTGGTAATAGTAGTGGTAATAGTAGTGGTAATAGTAGTGGTAATAGTAGTGGTAATATTAGTGGTAACAGTAGTGGTAATAGTAGTGGTAAAAGTAGTGGTAATAGTAGTGGTAATAGTAGTGGTAATAGTAGTGGTAATAGTAGTGGTAATAACCGCTGTAAGTTTTATTTTGTGTGGATTGTGTACAGTATTTGACAGTGAACTCAAGACACAGACACGCACGTCGTACAAGTTGTACACCGTGCTAACATGGGTACCATTACAGGTGTAAGAGAGTGGTTTGGGGCAGTAAGAGAGACAGTATTGAAGATAAAGTGCATTGCGATATGTATTATTATACCTGTTCCTAGAATAGTGAAGGGAGTAGGATCAGTTCTCAGCTCCGTATCCAGCCAGGCCCACTGTTCCGCCCCCAAAACAGCCTGCTTCTCTTTATCCAGCTGAGACCTCGGATCTATCAGGATTATCTTGACTCTCTTTTCTCCAGTTCCCAGTAAATAAGACCCGTACAGTCCTCTTCTATTCCTACGAGGTGAGCTCTCTGGCTCATCTAGAAAATCTAGAAATATGTCCTGTAGGGGTTGAAACGTCATTGCTCAATTAGCTGATGAAGAAAAGATTGTTCAGGAGCAAGACAGTCTCGCCTTATAAAGTTGATAGATTAATGAGGTTAGTAAGGGTTACTCCCATTAAGTGAACGAGACATCCCAGTAATACAATGTATTTGTCAGGCGTAGCTGTAACCCTTACAAGGTTTATAATAGCTAAACTAATATTAGATTATTAAAGACTTGCACTTGTCGGCATATTTAATCAAATTAATTTAAGGAATGAATTATTGCTATGCTAGATTAATGTTTGGACAAATTTACACGGTTTTGTGTGACCGAACAATCTTAGAAAATCCAGGTAATTCTGGCAACCTGGACGGCAGCTGTATAAATATCATCAGATGCACCACCATCGTTCACACCATAGTCATGGTCATCCCAAACTCCCACAATCTTAGTTCTCCTCTTCTGGAAGGACTGGTAATCGTGGCATGTCTTCATCTTGTGGAGCTGTTCGGAGTATCGGGCTATACTTGGTGGTTTCTGTAACATTAGACTGGGTTAAGACAAAATGCATAGATAAGACAAAATACAGAGATAAGACAAAATACAGAGATAAGACAAAATACATAATATGTATTATATGAGAATTTTCGGAGGGATGATAAATGAAAACACAATTAGTTCAAATTCTTTCCACTTGACATATTAAAACGCTAATCTCACTTCAACTTTCAATCGTGACACACGTGACACACATGACACACGTGACACGTACCCATGAGAATGGTCTGACTCTGGTATCAGTGTACACAGCATCTCCTAACCAGATGAAATAGTCCGGGTCCCACCGTGCTATCTCACTCCACAACGGCTGTTCTGCATCTTGGTGGGAACAGCTACCAAACGATATCCTCTCTATCGGAGTGTCGTCAACAAAGTCAGCACCAGAGGACAGGTGAAACAGGGCGGAAAAGAGGAGAAGTGGGAGCAACAGGGGAAGAGCCATGTAGCATCCTACCTCTTACAAGTTACTGTCTGGTCTTTACATGCTACGGGAAATGTGTGAACTGTTAAATATACAGTGTACAATGGTTCTATTCTGAAAAAGGAATTGGGCGATTGAAAGTTACGGTAGTTGTTGTATTGTTAGAGCTGTGAAACAAGAATTGAATACCATAAAATGATATAATTTTACTTGATTCGGATAAGAAAAACACAGATGTAAACCACCACAGGTAAATGACATTATCGTGCTAAAAACTGAACACAATCAGCGACTCAAAATGAAAATAATAAATTAACTTCCCTAATCCCCAAAGAAATGGTTTGATACTGATACGGAGCGCAAAGTGCTTTAAATATATCGGGGAAAATCGGTTAAAAAATGAAAAGTTAAAATCATCAGTTTCTCAGGACTTTTCCTTTTTTAGCTTCTTCTTTTTCTTGGGCGAAGCTGCGTCATTCTCAACATTTTCAGATGTCACAATCTTATCTTTTGACTTTTTTCGTTTCTTCCCAGAATTTACCACGCTTTCCTCTCCGATCAGTTGGTCACTGGTCGACTCTAAGACAACGTCTGACAAAACTTTTTTCTTCTTCTTTTTCTTTGGTGCAACATTATCTGAACCATCTTCCGGGTTATTATTCTGCAGCAAGGCTTCACTATCACTGTTCAACTTGGTTTTCTTCTTTTTCTTCTTCTTTGGGACTTCGCTCGATTCTGTTGATACGGCTGGACTATCTTCGATCTCATTTGAAGCAATTTTTGGAATACCAGCACTCTTCAGGTTTTTGCTCTTCAGTTTCCTTTTTAAAGCTTCAATATCCACACTCGCATCATTCGTCTCCACAACCTTATCATTCAGCTGCAAGTTTTCCTCTTTGGGAGCAACAAACGCAGCTTCTTTCTCCTTCCTCTTCTGAGCTGTCTTCTCCTGTGTTGCCTGCTCCTTCTCATCGTTCTTCTTCTGTTTCTTCTCAATCTCCTTCATGAAATACTCTCCTGATTCTAACTGCAAGTCTACCTTGCTGGGTTGTTGAGGAGGTGGGAAGGGAGTATACTTCTTCTTTACTACTTGTTTCTTTGGTTTCTTCGTTTGAACATTCTTCTTTTTAAATTGGGGCAAGAATCTGTCCCATGATTCCTCTTTTAGGGCCGGGTCTTTCATCAGCTCTCTCTTAGTCATCAGTATTTTGATATTGTAGATGGGATGGATGTTGTTCATGGTGTCCATAACAATGTTCCGGACCTGGACACATTATTATTATTAAATAAAAGTTCTAAACAAGGCCAAGGGATAGTTAGAAAACAACGCTCCAGTCTAATCTTTCCCTAAAACAAATAACTAAATATCAAAACTTCATTGTAGCACAAATGTCAGGTCAATTCAATTCAGGAGCATTCTAGCACAAATTAATTCAATTAACCTCCGGGGCTTGCCCGAAATAAGGTTACCAACTCAATTTTGAAGATAACATCGTGCTGCCATAGTTAGATGATATAATCAAAAGACAATAGTTATTATAAATCTCAGAATAAGTGGTTCTACCTGTTTGATTCCTTTGTAAGGACCTAGAGCAGCCACGGTGCTTCCCTGTACTTTAATGTAGCATTCTGTTAGCAGTTCTAGCGCCTGTCAGTGTGTAAAATACAGTTTTGTACATGTTGGCATATATTCTACATCGGTAGAAAAACAAGCTCAGATATGGAGAAATAGCCAACTGACAATGAATATTCAATATTCTTTTTAAACGAACAGAACCACACGAAACATTACGAAAGCATTAAAATGACTTTTCGCAGACTATTTCCCAGGTGCAAAAACTGCTGAATAGATCAAATTAACGTATACGGAAGAGTGCGCCCTAAAACACCAGTCCTCCTACAACTATCACCTTGTAGAGAATCTTCAATTAGATTAGGCTGGGTTAAAAACTCAACCGTACACTTAACAGCATTGCACCAAGAATTTTATTTACCCCTGGTACTAAATCGATCAATATCAAATTAGGACCCATAAAAGTACGGGCACACTGTATATAAGGTTCTAACCTTAAGAGTGTTGCCGTTGGGCCCAACGAGACGTTGTCGCCTCTTAACAAATCTCTCCTTGTTAGAAGTCACGTTTCCAATCTTGATAACATCACTGGTCATTTCGTCTTGAAGTACCCGCTTTGCTTGTTCAAAGGGAACGCTCCTAGCGAGTAGCTTGATCATATCTCTAGCCTGAAATTAATCCGTTTGAATGTAAAATATTCAGAATTTATTGAAAGTTTTAATAATCTTCGCCAATATAAATTAAAGGAATCATGATAAATATGAATATATGCAGCTAAGAAAAGCTTTATTGTTTAATTTCACTAGCAGGAACCCGTCTAACCCTAAAGTGGTGTCAAGACTCGAGAGTCTAAAATAATTATTACCTATTTAATTCGCGTTTTTGACACCACTTGAGAGTCCAAATTTTGGGCACTAAAATTATTATTCCTTGGCCAATTTTTTATTTTTTCATGCTGATTTGAAGGCCATTAAAGCATTTGACCCAGTCAAAAAAGTTTCAGTTGTATATGTTTTACGGTTTTTGCGGAAAGTCGCGTTAAAGTTGATGCCGTGGTGTCAGTAAAATGGCACGGATATATACACATATATATATCGTCTCGCTTTATATATAGTAAGATTAGGCTAATACCTTTACAATGACATATGGATCCCATGTCTTCCGGGTAGTTTTTACAGTCATACTACCCTCGATTAAGTCTAGAAGAGCGTGAACACCAAATTCCTTCAAACAACTAACCACGTTCGGCCACACCTGAGAAAGTGTTTTATTAATATTTCATAATATTGAAGGTTTGGTTGTATACAAACTATACATAGTTGACAATCGGTATTTTAACATTTTTTAAATGGTAGTTCTATCAACAATATCGAAGATTTAGGACAAATCTACATCTGCAATCTATAATTTATTACAAAACTGTTATCATTTAAGAGATAATAGGAATTTCTAGCAGCAAACTTATAGTTGAATAAAAGATCCGTTAGTTTAAGTTCTAGCTATTCGTAGTTTCTCCTAAGTTAGTCAGAAAGAGAACAAACAGCAAAACTATTCCCATATTACCTGCTGTAAGTACTTTTCTCTGTATTTTGGAAAAAGTGTAGCAAATGAGCTTTCTTCCAAAAGATGGGAGCTCATATCCCCAACTTTGAACTCTTCCATTTTCCAATGATCAATATCATCTGTGTCCCATGGTTTGGGTTTGCGATACTTTTTGTTCTTATTCACTGGAACTTCTTCTGTGGTAGTCATTTTGATCTATAAACGGTTAAGAATGAGATTAAATAAGAGTTCAAGTTCGGTTTACCGACAGTTTACTTACTACTATAGAGATGAATACTGATAAGGATTAGAGAGGTTGACTAAATTTTGTTTGACATGTATGACAATGATTTTGTGCTCTATATAGAAAAAAAATTTGGTTCATATAGATCCATGGATGATCATTTTGTCACAAAGTTCACCATAATTAGGGATAGTTCACATGTTACGTAAGCCTTATTTTTTGTCATTTTAGACCCCATCCCCCTCTGTAAAACACTTAACATTATATAGCTACATTCTACAATTGTGTTGAAATTGCAGTAAAGCTTTAGCGAAACCGATGGCATTGCTTGTGACAGGTACCACCTACCCCAAAATGCCTGTGGTGTATAAAAACTCCTCATGGCAGCCCAGCTGTTTACAGTTCTCTTAGAGGATTGTGCAGGCCGTGGCCCCTCCTTCTATGCTTATTAGGGATTGTACCCTCCTACCTGGCTTGCCTTGCCAGGTGGGACTTTTCAATTCAATCAAATTGTTTCACTAATTGGCAGGAATCCAAATCATATACACACAGCAACCAGGAGTAGCATAAAGCTAATTGTTCTAGGAGATGGTTAAAGGAAAGGAATTAATGGTCTGGCAGACACTGGTCTATCCCAAATAGCTTACAACGCGAATGTAACTAGGTTGTTTTCTTGAAGAGGAGTCATATTCTCTTATTTGTAAGACCACACCATCTAAGACATGTGTGACAGCAGCCTCTGAAAGTGATAGGAAAATCAGTCGACATGAAGAAATTTACAGAGACCCTAAGACAAATATTCCTGCTTAAACAATCAAGAGGTAGAAAATTAAAGAAACGAACGATATTAAATTATTTTAATAAACTTCGGATTTGCTGTAAATGATTTAAACAAAATTGTGTTTTACCAAACCAGTCTGATGTGAGACTCGGAATTGATTGAAATAAATTTTCGTGCACATACAGAATGAATGGTTAATAATTTAATATATATATGTAGACCAAGCTCTGTGCACGGGATGCTTCCTGGAAGAATCCAGTTCTTTTAGCGGGGCACCCTACCTAAAGCCAAATTGAGATATAATAATCATATTCCTAGGGAAATAATCAGAAATCGAATACCAATCAAATAATATGATATATAGGAGTAGTAACCATATTTACTATGCAAAATGCCCCAACCTCATAGTGTAAATTTATTTAAAATTCAAATTCCATACCACCACTAAACCCCAACAGTCAACACAACAGCCCAAGCAAAATACTTGCATCATCATGTACCCAACAGCAGTGGCGTAACGAACAGTGGCCTAACGAACAGTGGCGTAACGAACAGTAGCGTAACAAACAGTGGCGTAACGAACAGTGGTGTAACAAACAGTGGCGTAACGAACAGTGGCGTAACGAACAGTGGCGTAACGAACAGTGGCGTAACGAACAGTGGCGTAACGAACAGTGGCGTAACGAACATTGGCGTAACGAACAGTGGCGTAACGAACAGTGGCGTAACGAACAGTGGCGTAACGAACAGTGGCGTAACGAAGGGCCCCACCGACCCTGCTATGCTGGGGGGCGCCATCTTAGGGGGGCGCCAAATCATCATTAGAATGTGGGACAATTTTGAAAAAACTTAACTATCGTACTAGCAAAACTGCGTGTTTTGCTCTAGAAACATACTTTTTTACCAGCAGATCCTCTAAAATCATATATGTTCAATTTTAGGGAGGGGCACAAAAAGGGGAGGGGGCGCCAACAGGGGGGGGGGGCTTTTTCAGCGGGGCGCCAAGAGGCAACAATATGCCACTGCCTGCAAGCAGACTGTCATTGTCCACTTATTCACTGAGATGCAGGTTCAATTTCAGATGACGAAAAAGTTATTCATAATATAGAATATAAATAACCATCCTCCTCCATGTTCAGTGTAATTTTTCATTGGAGAAGGACCCTATAATTTTCGGACTTGACTATCCTCTAAAATCACCTAATTTGTTCAATTGTAGGGAGGGGCACCAAAAGGGGAGGGGCGCCAACAGGGGGGCGCTTTTTCGGCGGGGGGCGCCAACAGGCAACGTTACGCCACTGTTGTACAGGCCTGAACATACGAATTGTCTTTAAGACAAAGGCTGTGAAATGTTCACAGCTCTGATAATGTAGGCATTAGGACGACTGTTCTTAGAAATGGTGATGATGTTTACGTGATTGTCCTGGATTTGAATTGATCTTCAAATTTGATTCCAACAACTCACTTTGATGAATACATACGAATCTCTTGAGCTTCAAGAACATACATGATCTCAAAAAATTCTGCTCGATCTCGCCATCTTTATGGTTAAACAGTTTGACGAACGGCTTAACAGTGATCACAGATCAAATCAAGTTTTTAAAAACAGGGACAGGAATTTTGTCAAACATGTGTTATTAATCGTCCTTAGCGGCAACGTATCTTGAACACCGTTAGAACTAGAAATAAAGAAAGAAACAACACTTATACACAAGTATAAGGTATCGTTACATAAATCGGTAGCACTAAAACCCTTAAAAGGTATTCATGTGAAAATATGACCCATTTTGATTTGGCGCTCGATTTTCATACTATGAGATAAATTGTCGAAAATATGCGCGGCGCTCCAAAATTTTTGTTCCATTTTAAAATCTTTTTTGGCCAAAGTTGTGTTAAATAAATTTTAATTATTGGTTATCTAAATAAATGTAAAAAGTAAATTTTCACGATGGAGCATGACACCGAAGCGCTAAATAAAATGCTAAAGTGCTTAAAAAAGTGTTAAAAAATGAAATGCGTGCAGAAAAGCTTAAATGTTGACAATTTTTTGGATTTTTACCTAAAACAATTGTAAAACAATGGTTTAATCTTTATATGATCTTTTACGGAGCTGTGTTAAAGCTGCCTTCATGTAAATTGTCGATATGTCAACAAAATTAATTTGTTTTAAAATGAAAACACATGATATTTGTTTTATTATTAAATCAAAAATCGATTTTTAAAAATAAAATCAAAAAATAATAATAAAACCAAGAAAACTCATTTTGATTATTTTGGAATTAGTTTCAATAAATTCAATGGTCAACATAGTATAAAAGTGTATTCGGGGTCTCTATTGTAGCGCGATGCACTACTGGGTCGCGCCGCGCATCAAATAATTCTTCTCGCAACCACTTCGGTAGATCGGCGAGATGCACCTTAAAATTGTATTTTACTTGTTTGGTCGGATATCATCTGGAAATTCAAAAAATCTATTATTACATTTATAATGTCCTTGTCAATTCGGCTACAGTATTTTATCCGTATGATGCATTTTTCCTTTTTATTTGTATCCCCATCTTCCTATCACTGCCTTCTGTCAAACCCGATCCATACTTAAAGCAATTTTATATTTTGATTACTTAATTAATAACATTACTAGGCGGTGCTCAGCCTGTCATTGCGCTGAATCTCTATTCATGATTATGAACATAAATATAATAGCCTTGGGTCCCCAGGTAAACTTAATATTGCTGTCAGGAGGGTGATTTGCCCTTCATTACAGTTGATTACAGAGGGGGGAGGGATAGAATTGCCAAAGGATTGATCACAAGATACTAACGTAATATGTGAAGGAGCCCTTACTATAAATTTAGAATGAATGAACTTTTTGACAATTTGAATTTGGAGCCACAAGGCAAAGGTTGATATTCAAATTTTTCTCCCAATATTTGAGATAGAGAATATATTGATTTTTTGAAGGGTTGTTTTTATATAGGGTCATTGTGACAATTATGTGTATATTACTGAGTGGAGTTGGGTTAAAAACATATAATAATAATAATAATAAATTAATGTTATTTTTATACAGCACCAAAAGGTTAAATAATTTAAATTTAACCCTTATGCTCAGCTGTAAATGATACCTAAATGAGTAGTAGAGATCGTGCATCTCCCTTGGACAGGAGTAAAAACGGAAGTTTAAAGCTGCAAGTAAAATCCTGACTAAATAAGGCAGATACACCTAACAAGAAGATATCCAAAAAAGGTTAGCAGGTTTTCTAACAAAACATAGATGATGACCACAAGAAATCTATGTATGAGACTCATCAGACTAACAAAATGATATACAAGATAATAAGGATGAAAAATCATAAAATATTAAAAATTCTTTAAGAATTATATATATAGAACTCCAAATATACAAACAATCTGAAAACTTCAATATACAATACAAAATTTTTAAAAAAGCTTACTGCAGAACAGTAACTGACGTTACAGAAAATCCAATACAGTCATGTCAAATTATCTGGGCAACATACAAGTCTAGAGACGGTGAAATAAACAGAGTGGAAAAAGATGCTAAAATACTTGAGACAAAATACAAAGAATAAGGCAGCTTTCTCCTGGGTGCCAACCCAAAAAATGTTGGTGTCCCGGGATAGAGCCTCCTTTTCTGACCTACACTACAATTTTATTGGCCGACACAGTGAAAAGAATAAAATCTTGAATATTGCCCGAAAATCCTTTAAAAAAATTAGAAGCCTAGAATAATTTAATTTAAAGCGTAAAATTGACCTGCTATAGGATGAAGATTTTAAAATCTTCTGATAATGTATTATATACTCAGTACATATCAAAGGACTTTCTAAACAGATGAGCTTTTAGTTTTCCCTTGAAGTCATTGATGTTTACACATTTCCTGATTTCTTGAGGAAGGTTGTTCCATAATCTTGGAGCAGATGAAGAGAAGGCTCTTGGTGGACTGTTTATAGGGCAATGAAGAGACACATCTCTGCCACCACTGGGATTGTACTTGACAAGGTTTGACAGGTATGAAGGTGCTAGTCCATGGAGCAGTTTGAAAGTTAGCAGGAGTATTTTAAATTCAATACGTTCTTGTACCTTGAGCCAATGAAGTTCTTTTATGTAGGGCTCAACTTCTTCTCTCCTCTTTAGACCTTTAACTAAGCGACATGCTCTGTTTTGCAG